TCTGCAGGTGCGGTGGCGGTGGCGCCGGCGGCGGCGCACAGGCTCGAGCAGGAGGCTCAGCGCGCGCAGGACGACGAGATCGTGGCGGCCTCCGAGCCCGAGATCCAGCAGACTGAGCCGAGCCCCGTCGGTGCCGCTCGAGAGCCACCAGCTGCGGGCACACGGGCGGTGCGACGGCCTGAGGCGGCAGCGGCTGGCGGAGGAAGCAGCAGCAGCAGCAGCGGCCAGGGCCTCTCGCCTGGTGCTGCCCTCATGCGCGCGGTGGCCGCCGCCCGTGCTGCGCGCGAGGCTAAGGGCGTGGCGGCGGCGGACCCCGCCGACGGCCAGGTGGACGCAGGCCCCGCGGTCGCCCAGGACGCCATGGAGGTGGACGAGCCTGGGGGATCAGGCACCCAGGATGCTGAAGAAGCGGGCCACGCGCTCCTCAGCATCAACGGATTCAGGATCTGCACGCGCTGCAAGGCGTACGCAAAGGAGATCAACGGCAAGCGCAGGACGCTCGGCAAGACGTGCGTCGCAGCCTCAGGCAATGCGCTGCGCCTGCGCAACCTGAAGGTCGCCAATATCAGGGCAGGCTTGGACCCAAAGACGGGCAAGCGCCTGAGTGAATGAGTTGGGGAGTGCCTTCGGTGGTCTGAGCCTTTTCAGGCTCGGCACGGGGTGGATGGTGGCTCGCGTGGCTGCCTCGCCTGACGGCGCGCACCCACGCGGCGCGGCGTGCGCGCTGCTTCTTGGAGGCCGCTGTTTGCGGAGCCTCCTTGCCGCATTTTGCGGCTCTCGCCTTCGAGGCGGCAGGATCGGTTCGTGCTGCACGGGCTGCCTTGCCATTTAAAAAGCGGCTCCATTCCTGTAGATTGGGCCTCTCTTGGGGCGCGAATCCCCCCCAGGAGACCCCAGGAGGCCCCAGGAGGCCACACGAGGCCCCAGGAGGCCGCAGGAGGCCACAGGAAACCCCTAGAGGCCCCAGGAGGCCCCAGGAGGCCACAAGGGGCTCTAGGAGGCCCCAGGAAGCCCCAGGAGGTTTCAGGAGGCCCCAGGAGGCCCCAAACTCATTCGCAGAGACTTCACACTCCAACTCATCCACAGTTAGATTCACTCCCAGACCGTCACTACTCAAGCCCGTTTATATTTGAAAACTCTTGCGCCTAGACGCTCACGGCGGCCAGGTCCATGCTACTCGATGCACATACTGGGAGCTCCACGCAGTGAATAATTACTTAACAGCCTCCTCCTCCTCCTCCTCCTCCTCATCTCCTTTCCTCGTCCCCTCCTATGTAGAGCCCCTCATACTCAGATGTACTCAAACCCAGACTGATGATGATGCTGATGATGCTGATTCTGATGATGATAATGGTGATGGTGATGGTGATGGTGATGATGATGATGCTGCTGATGATGATGATGATGATGTTGATGCTGATGCTGATGCTGATGCTAATGCTGATGCTGATGATGATGCGGATGCTGGTGCTGATGATGATGACGATGGTGATGCTGATGATGCTGATGCTGATGCTGATGATGATGATGATGATGATGATGATGATGGCGGAGCAAATTCTGAGACCTCTCGAGCGAGGCGCGGGTTCCAGCACCCCCAAGGGGGAGTTCACGACTCATCATCGTCCGCTTTCGGGGCAGATTCGGAGGATGTCTCGAGCGAGGTGCTCATGTTCGCCCCCAAGTGGGGTCAGATGTTGAGGACGTCTCGATCGGTTTGCCTGTTTTGGTGGCCAGACTTGAGGATGTCTCGAGCCAGGCGCGGGTTTCAGCATCCTCCCCAAGGGGGAGCCGCCAGGGGGTATTGCATTCCTCCGTTCGCGCCAAAATGGCGGGGATGTCTCGAGCGGTTCGCCTGTTTCACATCATTTTCCGCTTTCGGGGCAGATTTGGAGGATTTCTCGAGCGAGTCGTTCATGTTCGCCTCCAAGTGGGGCCAGATTTTGAGGATGTCTCGATCGGCTTGCCTGTTTTGGTAGCCAGACTCGTGGACACGGATCCCCCCCAGGATGCCACAGGAGGCCACAGTAGGTATCAGGATGCCACAGGAGGCCACAGGAAATTCCAGGAGGCCCCAGGAGGCCCCAGGAGGCTCCAGGAGGCCCCAGGAAACTCCAGGATGTTTCAAGAGGCTCCAGGATGCTGCAGAAGGCCACAGGAGGCCGCAGGAGGCCACAGGAAACGCCACAGGAAACGCTAGGAGGCACCAGGAGGCCCCGGAAGGTACCAGGAGGACCCAAGATGCCCCAGGAGCAGGAGGCCTCAAATGGCCACAGGAGTGGCGCCAATCCTTTGTGTTGTACGTATGCACATGTAGATCTGGGACCCCCTGGAGCACGAATCCTTTTGGTGTTTTACGTATGTTTCTATAGATTGTCATTCCTTTGTGTATCCACTCCTACGTGTCTTACGTCTGTTCCTATAGATTTGACCTCCCCTGGGGCACGAGTCCTCGGTATTTTACATGTGCTCCTATACATTGCTCGTCTCCTGCGGCTCCATTCCGCAGTGCTTTACGTACGTCTGTTCCTATAGATTGGGCCTGCCTCTCTTGGGGCACGAATCCTCCCCAGGAGACCCCAGGAGGCTCCAGGAGGCCCCAGGACAGGAGGCCACACGAGGCCCCAAGAAGCCCCAAGAGGCTCCAGGAGGCCCCAGGAAGCCCCAGGAGGTTTCAGGAGGCCTCCAGGACGCCCCAGGCTCATGCGCAGAGACGCGCTCGTAACTCATTCAAAGAGTCACTCCCAGTCCGTCCATACTTAAGCCCGTTTTTATTCCAAAGCTTTTGCGTTTCGGCACTCACGGCGATAGGTCCATGCCATTAGATGCACACGTGAGGAGTTCCGCGCAGTAATTAATTCTTATAAGTTGTTAACAGACGCATGCGCGCGGCGCTGAGGCGAGAACCACGTTTTGAAAACAGCGCGCCCTCGATCCGTGAAGTTCTTCTAATTCTTGTAAAACGAATGTGCGCGGACCTAAGGCGGAAACCACTTTTTGAAAAAGGCCCACCATGCATCGGCGACGCTATTGCAACTTTGTGCGACGAAAACGCGCGGTGAATCACATGTTGAAAACCACCCGCCCTCCATCCGTGAAGCTTTTGCAACTTTTAAGACGAGTGTGCGCGGCGCCAAGGCGAACACCGCATTTTGAAAACCATCCACCCTCCATCCATGAAACTCTTGCAACGTTTTAAGACGAGTGTGCGCGGGACCAAGGCGAGAGTCACATTTTGAAAACCAACCGCCTTCCGTCCGTGAGAAACTCTTTCAATTTGTAAGCCGAGCGTGCACGGCGCTAAGGCGAGAGCCACATTTTGATAACCACCCGCCCCCCATGTTGTGAAACCGTTGTCAATGTGTAAGTTGCAGGATCATTAACGGTGAGGAGGTCTCACGTGAAACGCCCGGCCCGTCCTTTCGACCAGCCTCGGGCCGCGACAGGGATGAGTTATTTTCACGGAAAAGGAGTTGAGGGGGAGGAAGAGGAGGAGGAGGAGGAGGAGGAAGAGGAAGAGGAGGCGGGGGAGGGGGAGGAGGGATCGGAGGACGGAGGAGGAGCAGGGAGTACCTCCGTCGGGGGGGGTGCGGGGGAGTGCTTGGGCCGATCGCTCCTGATGGCTTGCCCCTGGTCTTTCCAGCCCCAAGGGGGGAGCGAGCGAGCGAGGAGGAGGAGGGACTGGAAGCGGCCCCCCCTCCCCGTCGCCCTGCCGCTTTCTGGGGTGTGCGCCATGTCGCCGGCACGCGGGTGGTTTGTCGCCTCCCGCCCGGGTGTTGCGACACGGTCCTCTCGAGGACCTTCGCGGCCGACACGCTTGGCCCTGGTGAAGGCCAGACCTGGAACGGGTGTGGTGCTGGGGCCGCGGCTAAGCAGGGACCAGAGGGAGGGTAGGAGGAGTCGTTTGGGGGGGACACGCAGAAAGAGGACCAGAAGCTTCCCCGCAGTTTTGGAACAGCTCATGATCGGGGCGCTATTTTGAAGTTGACACGAACTCCAAATGCGAAGGCGAACGCGTCACCGGGCGTTCCCTCAAGTCATAATGGCTCCGTCGCGTAGGTTGTAATGTTTACGGCAATTGGAAAGCACGATGTGCATGGAAAGACAAGTGTGCCGTGAATGGGCGAAACGGAGGGCCCGAGTTCAACCCAGGAGATATCGCCGATGAGTTGAAGCCGATGTTAATTGCCACGCGCATCAATGTGGTGATTATCTTCGTATGCTCCTCATATCCTTCTGCCTTGCCATTGTCATGCTCCCCTCCTCGTCCTCCCCCTCCTTTCCGCTGCTCCTCATCCTCCCCATGCATACCCTCCTTGCCCCTCTGCCTCCTCCTCCTCTTCTTTCCCCATCTTTTTTCCCCCTTCCCTCCCCACCCTGGCTCCCCCTTCTCGCCCCCCCCCGGGCCGCCTCCTGCTCTCCCTCTCCCCCGCGCCCAGAGGCCGAGGTTGGAGGCACGCTCTTGTTTTGCAAGCAGTGTCGCCAGTATGCGACCACTGAGCCCCTGGGGCTCGGCAAAGCCTGTCCTAGCTTAGGCGTCGTGTTCTGGTGGCGTAATGAAGCGGCGCAGCACAAGATGCGCCGCTCTGTGCAACTCAAGCGCCCGAAGTGTGGCAACGAGGACCGTACAGTCGCCCATTGGCCCCTCTCGGAGTTGGCTTACGGAGCTCGCCAACCCCTGCAGGCGTAGGGCTGTTCGCCGTTGTCTGGCCACCCCGCCAGAACCCAGTATAGGTGGAGGACAAGTTTCCCCCCCGCCGTCCGTTTCCCCTTCAACGCAGACGCCGCGTTGCCTGTTGGGCTTTCCCTGCGTCTGGTTTCCAGAGGCCTTATCCCGCATCGGGGGCTCCCAGAGGCCCTCGAAAGATCAGCGTGAGCACGTCTACGCGACACTGCCATCGTGCACCGCCGCCGCCGCCGCCGCCGCCTCGTGCCCTTCCCCCCCTCGTCCCCCGTCCCCTTCGGCTGCCCCCGCCCCCCCTCGCGCGGCGGGCGAGCAGGCGGAGGAGGCCGCGGCGAAGCTCGCGGACCAGGCGGAGCCGGCGGTGGACGACCAGGCGGAGCTGCGGGACCGCCTGTAGGCGCGTTCAGTCGTCCTCGACACCGCTTGGCGTCATCCTTTTTGCTGGTGTCGTCGGCATCGGTTTCGTCGTCGCGTCGTCGTCGCCGTCGGAGAAGTGAGGAGGAGGAGGAGGAGGAGGAAGAGGAGGACCAGCGTAAGCCGAAGGCTCGTCAACGATATTGCAAAAAACCCTCCCTCGAAGCTCCCTCTTCGTAGTTAACATTGTCATTGAGGGAGCTGCCCCGTTGGCAGACAGCCGTTTGAAAATCGAGAACCGCACCAGAACACCGTTCTTGGGACTCCAGCGCCGCGAATAAGCGTCAGGGCTGCGTTCTGACGATCCTGAATCGGACCAGAACACCATTCCAGGGATTTCAACGCCGCGAATCAACGTAGCTGACGCTCCCTGACAGTCTGACATTGTGCCAACCCACCTTGCACCTTGTGTAAAGTCGTGCAACCAACGTTCGTGGCGCAAAAGGGAAATCCACATTTTAACAAGGTACGCCCCGGTATCCGTGAACTCGTGCAAAGTTGTATGACGAATGTGCGCGTCGCTAAGGCGAGAGCCAACAGTTGAAAAGTTACCGCCCTCCATCCATGGAGTTCTGGCAAGCGTTTAAGACGAATGTCCGCGGCGCTAATGCGAAGCCACACTTTGAAAGCGGCCCGCCCTCCATCCACGAAGCTCCTGCAGACTTGCTGACGACTGCGCGCGGGGCCAAGGCGGGCGCTACATCTTGAACACGGAGCGCCCTCCATCCGTTAAGCTCTGGCGAATGTTCAGCTTGAGGATCGTTCATGGTGAGTTTCAATATCAGGCGAACGCTTGGCCCTCGCTTTACCGATACGTCTCGGGGTGCGACAGGGAAGAGTCATGTGTATGGAATAGGTATTGAGGAGGAGGAGGGCCAGTGAAAGCCTGAGAGTCATCAGCGATATTGGAATACACCCTCCCTCCAAACTCCCTCTTCATAGGCCCCTACAACGGTTCATTTCCACAGGGGGCTGCCTCGTTGGAAGGCAGCCGTTTGAAGACCCTGTTGTCGGGATTCCAATGCCACGGATCAACCTGACTGTTTCGCATTTACAATTTGGAGTCGTGCCAGAGTCCCATTCTTGGGGTTCCAACACCGCGAATCAACGTAACAGGTGCACCTTCATAATCCTGAATCCTTCGAACACGCACTTTCTGGTAAGCTGATCGTGGGAATCCGTGAAACTCTGGCAAATGTTACAACAGAATGTGCGCGGCGCTGCGGCGAGAGTCAAATTTTGGAAAGGTACCGCCCTCACATCTCTTGCAAATGTTTGAAACGAATGTGCGCGGCGCTAAGGTAAGAGACACATTTTGAAAACCACCCGCCCTCAATCCGTGAAGCCCGTGAAGCCCTTTTACTTTTTTAGCGAGTGTGTGCGGCGCTAAGGCGAGAGCCACATTTTGAAGACGACCCTCCCTCAATCCGTGAAGCTCTTACACATGTGTACTAAAACGAGTGTGCGCGGCGCTAAGGCGAGAGTCACATTTTGAGAAGGAACCGCCCTCAACCTTTTGAAGATCTTGCAATTTTTACAAACGAATTTGCGCGGCGCCAAGGCGAGAGCCACATTTTGAAAGCCACCCGCCCTCAATCTGTGAAGATCTTGCACATGTTACGAACGAATGCGCGCGGCGCTAAGGCGAGAGCCCGATTTTGAAAACGACCCGCCCTCAATCCGTGAAGCCCTTGCAAATGTTTAAAAGGAATGTGCGCGGCACTACGGCGAGAGCCACATTTTGAAAACGACCCGCCCTCCAGCTGTGAAACTGTTGCCACTGTTGAATCTTCAGGGTCATAAGTGGGGAGGAAGTCTCAGGCGAAACGCCCAGACCGCCCTAAAAACTGGCCTAGGGGTGCGACAGGAAGACGTTTTTCATAAGGAAAAGGAATGGAGGAGGAGGAGGAGGAGGAGGAGGAGGTAGCAGGATGTTGCAGGCCTGATCTCCGCAGTTGCAAGGCACGCAACGCGGCGATGGCTGAAGTCTCACTCACCCTAGGCCGTCCCTGGGCGATGGAGGTCGGCTTTGTTCAAATTCGAGACCCCCCTGGCCTGAGGTCTTGGGGGGGCCTCCTGCAAAACGGCGCAGCTGAAGCATCAACCACCGCGCTCCGCGCTCCCCCCGTGGCGGCGGCGTTGGTGTTCCGCGCTCTCCGGAGCACTGGCCGCCGCTGCAGGGGCCTCCAGCCCCAGCCCCAGCGGGTGAGTGGGCCGCTGTGGGATTGTGAACCCCAGGGGGAGGAGAGGAGAGGGGAGAGGGGGAGGAGAAGAGGAGCCAGGAGGCAGGAGGAGGGGAGGGGCGCAGTCTATCCCGACCTCCAGCCGGCGCCGTTCACCCCGCTGATTCCACTAGCGGGGGGTGCCTTAACTAACCCCGAGTCGCTGACGGGGCCTTTGCTATCCAAGCAGAGGGGGGCGAGGAGGAGGGGGAGGAGGAGGAGGAAAAGGAGGAGGAGGCGGGGGGGGGAGGAGGAGGAGCAGAAGGAGGAGGAGGGCGAGGACGAGGAGGAAGATAGTGAGGAGGGGGAGTGGCGCCACGCTCGAGAGATCTTGGCGAGGGGCAGGCCCCCCCTCGCCCTCCCGCGGCGGCGCCCAGGCGCGGCGCCCGCCATGCGTTGGGGGTCGCCCGCGATCCGCGCCAACAGGAGCCACAGCCATCATGAGGGAGATGGGTTACGACTTCATCGACCGCGCTCCGGCGCGAGGCCGCTGCGCGCTGCAGCGCGGCGGATGCCCCCCGCGGCCCAGAACCCCCTGCCAGGCCGCTGTTGTGACGCTGCCATGATGGTCGCAACCATGCGCGACCAGCACGACCGCTGGCACGACAACCGCGACGAGCAGTCCCACCACCACCACCACCACCACCACCACCACCACCACCACCAAGCCCACGACGGGCAGCCACACCACCACTGCGGCCACACCATCAAGCACATCGCCATAGAGGTCCCCAACAATGCACCGTAACGCCATGGAATACAGCCGCGGCCTCCCAGGCCAGAAGGACAGGGCCGGACCCCATCCCAACGCCGACGCTAATTGCGGCGATGATGAGGTTGTCCGCTTGCCGCCCTTCATGCCAGCGCGCGCCTACTACACCTACCCTCGCCCCGCGTCCCCAACGACGGACTTCATGATCCTCCAGCCACGCCCGAGTGGCCGCATGCCTGAAGGGGAGCCCGCGGAGCCACCTGTTCTCCAGCGGACTCCAGGTCCCGAGTAGCAGCACGCCCTGAGAGGGAGTCCGCGGAGGGCATACCCAGGGAAGCGGTCAGAAGGACAACTGAGCTCCCCAAGACGCTCCTGAAGACGGCCCCCGCGACGGACCCCGCAAGGGACCCCCACGGCAGCCCCCACAGCGACTCCCTCCTCGTCCCCTTCCTCTCGCGAAGGGGGCCACGGCCCTCTGCCCTACGACCCCGCATTGCCCCGCGACCCCACTGCCATACGACCCTCGCGCCCCCTGGACCCCGCGACCCCCTGCTCAACGACCCCCATGAGGGCAGCGCCCCGACTGGCCGCAGACCCAGGGAGGGAGCACGTGGGGGAGCGGCCATCGGCCATGGGGCCACTGGCCAGCCCAAGGCCGGCGCCGTCGACCCGTCGGCGAGCTCCAAATCCTGATGGGCCGCGCGCCCTGAAAGGGAGCCCGCGAAGGGCATGCCCAGGGAAACAGTTTTAGGGACAGCCGAAACCACTCCCCCAGACCCCCCACCTGACCATCGCAACGGTTTCACGACCCTCCGCCCAACCCGAGCGTTCCCAATATCCACCGCGACGACGGCAAACCACGACGGCCACTGCGCGACGGCCTCAGCAACGCTCCCCCCGGCAACGGCCTCGACGGCGGCCCCCGCGACCGACCCTGCGACGGACCCCTGCGGCGGCCCCCGCGACCTTTCCCAGGACGACCCCACCCCGACGGCGATGAAGACGACGACGACGATTTCGATAAAGACGAAAACTCCCCCAGCACAGACCAGCCGACAGCCCTACCAACGCCCCTCCCGACACCCTCCAAGGCTCTCCCCGCGACGTCCAGACCGACGCCCCGCCCCACCCCGTGCCCGACGCCTCGTCAGGCGCGCGCCCTGCGCCGGACCCCGCGCTGCTGGAACTACGTCGGCCACTCGGACAGCGCTCCCCTCACGGGTGGCTGGGCGGACGTTGACAGCCGACCTTGCGACCCTTTGCCCCGCGACCCCGCGACGGCCCCCCACGACACCCCCCGCGATGACCTCCGGGTGACGACCCTCGCTACGGACCCCCACGACGACCCCCGCAGCGACGACCCCCGCAGCGGCGACCGCCACGGCGGGCACGGGGACGGCCGCGGCTACCGCGACAGCCCCCACGACAGCCCCCGCGACGGCCCCCGCGACGGCCTCGCCGACAGCCCCCCCGACGGCCTCGCCGACACCCCCCGCGAGTACGACTACGAAGACGGCGCCGTCCTTTCAGAGGAGAAAAGCCCCCAGGAGGACGAGGACGCCTCTTTGGACGACTTCGACACTGCGAGTACACTTCTTGCCGTCTGGCGACAAAGACGGCGGCAGCTTTACGGCAGATGATCATCTCCCCCAAATTGTCCATTACCACTTTTCCGAACGACACCCTCCCTATCCCCAATGCCCCCTGGCCCCCCCACCATCATAAAGCTGCGTCACGGCCCCCCGGGCCCCCCCTGCCCCACGACCCCTCTCCCGGCGCCCCCCACGAAGGCCCCCGCGACCCCCGCGACGGCCGCGCCCCAACTGGTCGCATGCCCTGAGAGGGAACCCGCGGGGGGCATACGTAGGGAAGGGGTCGCAGGGGCAGCCGAGGCCACTCCCTGACAGCTGGACGACCAAAAGGATGGACGAGTGGCGGGGCCTTTGGGGCCGTGAGCCACCTCGCCCGAACCCCTCCCCGCTTCCGGCCGTTCGTTTGCCCCTTGACTGGCCCGCCCTTTTCGCGCCCCGCAAACTTAGGTTTACTTAC